AATGGCGATGACCTCCAACCAAAAGGCGATGACCTCCAACCTAATGGTGATGACCTCCAACCTAATGGCGATGACCTCCAACTCAATAGCGATGGCCTCCAACCCAATGGCCTCCAACCTAGGTGATGGCCTCGAACCTAGAAGCGATGGCCTCCAACCTAATGGTGATGGCCTCCAACCTAGAAGCGATGACCTCCAACCTACTAGCGAACGAAAGGAAAAGACTAAACAAAACCTACTATTAGCCTTCCTGAAACATCGTTTGCGCAAAGTCACTCGGCTCGACATGCTGAGCTCCACGGAGATGTCCTCAAAGACCAAATTGTCAGCACCTCAAAACCGAATAGGTGTACAAGGAGTTCCCGGGCAAGCCGGCGGCGGAAGTTTCCTATAAGAAGAAACTGACCTATAGGAGTGTCCACGTTCTCTCCAACACGCGCGTCCTCCAGTCAGGCGCACGCGCTCCGGACTTTTGACCCACGGGATTCCACGTGTGTAAGGTGTGTGCCCCCTGCGAGAGATGACACACATCCGGCCACCACGACTTGCCAAGGATGCGGTCCACATCAACACACATCCCACCGTGGCATTCTTCAGTGGCGGCAGAATTGGCATGTAATCCGAATTGGCATGTAAAACCTGTCACGCATAAATGCAACCAAATACTGTCAGTGTGAACTGCGCCCAAAACTTCAACCTTAAGTACAAACCGACCTGCCAACAAAACAATCAGTTGCAACCAGTGTTGGGTTATGATGAGTGGTGTATGATGAGTGGTGTATGATGAGTGATGTATGATGAGTCTTGTATGATGAGGGGTGTATGACGAGTGATGAATGATGAGTGGTGTATGTTGAGTGGTGTATGATGAGTGGTGTATGCTGACTGGTGTATGATGAGCGGTGTCTTGACCAGCAGTTGAATGTCCTGTCCTGCATAAGTGCAACCAAATACTATCAGTATGAACTGTGCCAAACATGCACGCCGCGAGAGATGACTCAGCAGCGAGAGATGACTCAGTCGCGAGAGATGACTCAGCCGAGAGAGATGGCTATAGCGAGAGCTGACTCAGCAGCGAGAGATGAATGAGCAGCGAGAGATGACTCCTCCGCGTACTACACTTGTACTACAAAGTGTCCAGTTCTCCGCTTCCAGCTCCACAGGTTGTTCCGCGTGCTACAGTTGTCCTAGACAGTCGCCAGGCAGTTCTCATCTTCCAGCTCCCCAGATGCTCCGCGTACTGCAGTTGTACTACACAGTCGCCAGTTCTCAGCTTCTAGCTGCACAGATTGCTCCGCGTACTAAAGTTGTTCGACAATGTCGCCAGTTCTCCGCTTCCAGCTCTACAGATTGCTCCGCGTACTAACGTTGTACTCGAAAGTCGCCAGTTCTCAGCCTCCACCTCGCCAGATTACTCCGCGTACTAAAGTTGTACTACAAAGTCGCCAGTTCTCAGCCTCCAGCTCTACAGATTGCTCCGCGTACTAAAGTTGTACTAGAAAGTCGCCAGTTCTCAGCTTCCAGCTCCACAGATACTCCGCGTACTAAAGTTGTATTACAAAGTCGCCAGTTCTCATCTTGCAGCTCGCCAGATACTCCGCGTGCTAAAGTTGTACTACAAAGTCGCCAGTTCTCAGCTTCCAGCTCTACAGATTGCTCCGCGTACTAAAGTTGTACTAGAAAGTCGCCAGTTCTCACCATCCAGCTCCACAGATACTCCGCGTAGTAAAGTTGTACTACAAAGTCGCCAGTTCTCCTCGTCCAGCTCGCCAGATACTCCGTGTACTAAAGTTGTACCACGAAGTCGCCAGTTCTCAGCTTCTAGCTGCGCAGATTGCTCCGCGTACTGAAGTTGTACTACAAAGTCGCCAGTTCTCATCGTCCAGCTTGCCAGATACTCCGCGTACTAAAGTTGCACTACAATGTCGCCAGTTCTCAGCTTCCAGCTCACAAATTGCTCCGCGTACTAAAGTTGTACTACAAGAGCCGCCAGTTCTCAGCTTCCAGCTCTCCAGATGCTGTGCCTGCCACGAAATCTGCACATGGAGGTTCACAAAGTGCTGTGCCTGCCACGAAATCTGCACATGGAGGTTCACAAAGCGCTGCACCTGCCACGAAATCTGCACATGGAGGTTCACAAAGCGCGCTGTGCCTGCCACGAAATCTGCACATGGAGGTTCACAAAGTGCTGTGCCTGCCATGAAATCTGCACATGGAGGTTCACAAAGTGCTGTGCCTGCTACGAAATCTGCACATGGAGGTTCACAAAGTGCTGCGCCAGCCACGAAATCTCCACATTGACGTTCACAAAGCGCTGCGCCTGCCACGAACTCTACACATGGAGGTTCACAAAAAGTGCTGCACTTGCCACGAAATCTGCACATGGAGGCTCACAAAGTGCTGTGCCTGCCACGAAATCTGCACATGGAGGTTCACAAAGTGCTGTGCCTGCCACAAAATCTGCACCTGGAGGTTCACAAATTGCTGCACCTGCCACGAAATCTGCACATGGAGGTTCACAAAGTGCTGTGCCTGCCACGAAATCTGCACATGGAGGTTCACAAAGTGCTGTGCCTGACATGAAATCTGCACCTGGAGGTTCACAAAGTGCTTGGCCTGCCACGAAGTCTGCACCTGGAGGTTCACAAAGTGCTGCACCTGCCACGACATCTGCACATGGAGGTTCACAAAGTGCTGTGCCTGCCACGAAATCTG